TAGGGAACGATAGAGAGTGTAAAATGTTAGGAAAGAACGTTAAAGAGGGTGAGAATGTTAGGTAGGGAACTATAAAGAGGATTTAAATGTTGGTAGGGAACGATAGGGAGTGTAAAATGTTAGGAAAGAACGTTAAAGAGGGTGAGAATGTTAGGTAGGGAACTATAAAGAGGGTGTAAGATGATTCTTTCAACACTGTTTGTAATATTCTCATTTTTAACAGTAGCATCTGTCTCTAGGTATTATCTTATTTAAAGCATAATTTCCTTAAACAAAATGGAGGCAGCCTTCCAATTAATAACGTGGAGTACATTATAGTCATGATGGGCAAAGCTGAGTGAGAAGTAAGGCCTAACCTTAATGCTCTTTTCTGTTCATATTGCCAAATTATTTAAAAGTTCTGGATGTTTGACTTAACATACATACACATTTTCACAAGGAGTATAAAACAACAATATTTTGAGATTTTTTAGGATTTTTATCTTTAGAGTGATATAATACATCTTGCAAGTTTTAATGATTTATGGAAACCAACTTTTCGTATGAGGTAAGCCAATCTTAGGAATATTAAAGTTATTTTGAAAACTAAAATTAGAATCACTTTGTCTCTAATGGATTTTTGTATTTAAATTTAATTAAAAATTACGAAGTATATGCATTCTCAAACAAGGTATTTTTGAAATATTTTAAACTTTGTAATGTTGACTGAAGTATAGTGCACACAATTATAAATAACCGAGACAACCGTGAATTCTAAAAGTTCTTACGAAGATCTATATACTCAATGTTTCAGCTTTACGCCTTCACCAGGAGCTTAAACTTCTATAATAAATTTTTTATCACTTAAATTAAGAACGTCCCCTGGCGAGTCAACGAGAATTTTATGGGTACACGAGGCTTAAATCCGGGGTTCGATTCCCGCGGTGGACAGAGTTCAGACAGTCCATTGTGTATATCTTTGCTCGACGAAAACAACAACAATTAAGAACCGTTAACTTAAGTTGTTTATGTGTAACAAGAGTTTTACATTCAATGGATTTTGTTGGATCTTGAGATGTATTCATATCATTCGAAAGTTTTAATACACCTTCATTATAGTGACTTCTGTCTACTACCATAGTTACAATACTTTTATTTGCTGGTAAAACCATTACATTTCTTCTTTAGATCTGTGCAGTGCACGTCTCTCTCTGTTGAATTTAAATTAGATAGAGGTCGATGGGCGTATTGCAATCTATCAACAGTCAGTATTCCACTGGAATCAGTTAGGCCTTGAATTATAGTTTTCACAGTGAACACATATCAGCAATCGGAATAGAATACAGAAAATTAAAACCCATGTTAAGAATTATCTATCTCGCTGTAAAATGGTGCGAAGACAAGTTAACCATTGGTGTAATTCACTATGTAACACAGCTTATTGAAGCTGATATGTAATATTATATTGGTGTACTCTCGATGAAGAAAACTAGTAACCTCTCAAAACGTTGCTCTTCATTTCAAAATATTTTTCATTTGTGTACTTTTAGTTATTTTGTTTGAGGCACTGAGCAATCATTCCTATGTATCATTACGTGGTTAGAACATATGTAGCATGTTCAGTAACAGTTCCCATATACCTAGGCGTTATTAGAATGTGCGATACTAATTTTCACTGCATGTATTTAATTACCAGTTTTTGCGTCTGGTAGTTATTAGCACATGCTACATTTCAAATTATGTTTGCTGTGACTGTTTGTATTAGTCCATAAAAGGTAGTCAATTTGTCTGGTCAGTGTTTACAGAGAATGTTATGTTAAAACGTTTTTGAATGCATAAATCAGTTAACAATGTGGTAACCACATGCAGAAATAGATCTGCAACAAGTCGTACTCCAGCCACGGTAAGCAAAGTGTGGCGTCTTGTAACAAGTGAGAATCCATGAGCACAAGAATTAGTGAGAAAAGTCATCCAAGTAGCTCCGAGCAACAGTACGTAAGACGTGCAATATAATCAAGAAAGATTTCCGTTTGGAAAAGCGACACAAGTCATTTGTACACAAATTGCTTCCACCATCAATATAACCAGAGTAATGTTCTACCTGGGTTAAACCTAGACTTCAAACCATAACTTCCAATTATACAGACATGTGTATAAAAATACATACACGCTGTATATATATACATATCTGTGAGAGGGAGATAGAGCAAATGGCGCCAAAAAAAAAAAACAACCAACGACATGACCTCTGTTCAACCTTGCATACCTCAAGCAGCTGGAGAGTGAAACGAGTATCTATGCTATTTCATATGAAAACATACCGATCAAGTCGTTGGAATGTTGAAACGGACGCTGAAAAATCGTCGTCGTCATACACTAAATGGATTATGGAAAGCTTGCAGGGAGGAGTTTTGCGCATTTGACATGGTATCTTACGATGTAGATTGTTGCCATAAATATTATGGTGCAGACTACAGCAAAGATGCACGATCCTCAGATACAGCAGGACCAGACGTGGTGACATGAACAGTAACGTCGAGGTAAGGTTCCAAAATCGTTTTAATAAAATGCGTACAACCTCTGTATTTATGAACGAGAGAGATTGCAAACCGCTCTGATTACAATTAAGAGAACTTCAAATTGTATACTCTTCTAAACAAATGTCTGTCTGAATTTCGTGAAAAGCTACATGAGGGCTATCTGTGCTAGCCGTCCCTAATTTAGCAGTGAAATATTAGACGGACGGCAGCTAGTCATCACCATCCACTGCCAACTCTTGGGCTACTCTTTTACCAACGAATAGTGGGATTAATCGTCACATTATAGAGCCCCCACGGCATGTTGGGTGTGACCTTCAGATTGCGAGTCGAGCGCCCTAACCACCTGGCCCAAATAAATAAATGCAAAACTTACATTAATCTCTATTTACATATCAGGTTTACTCAGAACGTTTTTTGTCAGTGCTATTAAGTTGTACACTGTTTAACGCATACATGTATGCTGTTTAATGGGTGAACAGTCTTAGAAAATGTAAGCCTTGGAAAAACTCAAACAACATTGGTAATACTAGTACTAAGATCAATATGCTTACCAAATTAATAACCTAATTAAGACACAGAAAGTAGGTTAAGACGCATATTAAAACACACACACACACACACCAAACAGCAGTAGCTCTATTAAAATAGGGATTGATTTATGCATAAACAAGATATCAGTCTATTACACCTATCACTTTGAATATCTCAAGAGAATTTTGTTTTATATGTTTTTATCTGTTTACCTCCAACGCTCTCTCATTACGTAACAAATGCATTACAAGACTAACAGTAACCGTTAAATAATTTTTATAATATGCTGTTCTTTAGTAAAAGTAGATATGCGTAAAAAAGAAATTGCACATAAAAGTAGATCTCTGTGACAGAATTGAACCAACAAATGTAATGTCTTTTACAATAAATACTTTTATTATGTAATACACAGAAGTACCCATTGCAAAATATAATATGTAAAAACTATATATGTTATAGAACTTAAGAAATGTGAGTCTAATGTAGAATGTAATAAATGTGCAGTTTACGATATCTAATGAATAGAATTAGGTATGCATTATAGAAAATAACACGTGTAAAAAGTGTATATTTAAAATCCTCAATATGGTAGATGTAGCCATCTATTGTCAAAATAGCATGCAGAGAATGCACCTTCTAGAATATATAACAAACAGAAGAGGCATGTAATGTGAACACGTAAAATATTTTCATTTAAAATATGTAGCAGTCAGAAATAGATTATAGGAAAAACCATATTAAAAAGTTTATCTGTTAGAACAGTTTATAGATATGAATCTCGTATATAAAACACCACCTATAAGTCTGTTTTGAAGTTCGCGCAAAGCTACACGAGGGC